GCAGTATTAGAATAAAACAGATAGAGTATCTTGGTAGATAAGAGAGAAAGAAAGAAACCTGGTTTAAATTAAAGCATATAAGAAGTAAATAAAAACCTGAGATAAGAAATTCAATGCAAAATGAGACACTTAAAATGCTTCCTGAACTTATTGTTTGATTTTCTAAAAGTAGTCTGGATCACTTATACTAGTAAAAAAAAAAAAAAAAGAATTCTGAGAGAATAGAGGAATAATTAGATAAAATGTTACCTAAAAAAACCCTGAATTTTAATTCAGAACAGAAGCATCCACAGACAGCTTTCTTCATTACTTCTCTATTGCTAAATACTGACCACTCCAGGGCCTTTGTTAACTGCTTGGTAATGTATTATTGAATTTTTCCAGGTAAAAGAATAGAGGTGTAATGAGGAACACTCCAATATTTGACTTTGTAAAAGAGTGCAAAATACTCCAGTTTTTAAACTATGTGGTGAAGTGGTCCTCAACTGACAAACAGCAGACAGCCTTCCAAGCCTCTTCTTAACCAGCGGCATGTGGCAGAATTACCTGGGGTGCTTTAAAAAGTCTTTTAAATGCTTGGGCCCCAATTGGGGGTAATTTTAAAGTTACCAGTTTAAAAAAATTACTGTAACAGTAGTACACAGTGGTGATGAAAGATAATTTAAGCAGTACCAAGTCTTCCTGACCCAACTGCCCACAGATAATCAATAGGACCAATTTCTGCAGATGATATATTTAATTTACAAAGGAGGCCACGCTACACGTGTTCTGCAAATGGTTTCTGTCATGTAGCAATGTATCTGAACATCTCTCCATATCAGTACATCTAGATCCATCTTGATTTTTCAACGGCTACCTAGCATTCCATTTTTTAGATGTACAAGGTCTGTCCAGAAGGTATCTAGCCATGTATAATGACACATTTACTGAAGAAGATACAAGATGCAAGAAACATTGTACATAGGACAATGATGCCTCAGTCCCCTTCAGAGTAGACACCTCGGGACCTCACACAGTTCTCCCAGTCACCTTCAGCTGTCCCATCGTATTTTCCTGAATCTCACTGATGGTCTGAAATCTCTTCCCTTTCAATGATGATTTCAGTTTTGGAAAAAGCCAGAAGTCACAGGGCACCAAATCTGGGTTGTAGCAGGGCTGAGTCACCTGGGTGATTTGATGTTATGCCAAAAATTTCTGCACAAGATGTGATGCATGAGTAGATGCGTTGTTGTGATAAAGCTGCCAATACGAGTTGCCCATAGCTGCGGCCTTCTGAAGCCTCCAGATAGTTTCCGCAGAGGAATGTTCAAGCTTAACACAAAATCTGATACACATTCCTTGCTCTACTCACTCAGTCATTTTGAATTCAAGAGTCACACAATACACTGGCTCACTCAATGGCATCTACAGTCCCCACTGACTAGTACAGTGAAGTCATTGTTCACACATGCATATTCAAGCCCACTCTCCTTGGCTGCCAGGTTACACCAATGTCACATAAAGTGTTCTCATTATATTAATAATGGCTGGACTTTCTCTGTACAGACCTCATATTATCACTTATTTAAGCAGTCCCTTATGGACATTCATTATTATTTCATTATTCTTTTTTTTTTTGCTATCACAATTAATACTACAATGAACATCCATATTTATCCATATCTTATTAATTTTTTATGAGTAGATAGTGTGGTAAGCATAATTCTAAAATGACCTGCAATAACCTATGCCTTTGTATAACCTGTGCCCCTCTGAGTGAGTGGGCCCTGTGAACATGCTGAGACTCCCGTTACATTTCATTATGGTGAAAGAGAGATTTTCCTGGGTGGGCCTGCCCCAAGCAGGCCAGAATTGAAAAGCAGAGGGTTCTCTCCAGCTGCTAAGCACAGAAGAGGAAGGCAGAGAGAGGCATCTGGGCAGGCTGGAAGAAAGCAGACACCCGTGTTGTGACCTAACTATCCGTGGAGCCACAGCACATGGAACTGCAAGCAGGAAGAGGGGGAAAGGGACCTTAATCCTACAGTCACAAGGGTTGTGACTAGTGAGCTTGGGGAAAAACCACCCAAGCTGCAGATGAAAACTGCAGCCCTGGCGACATCCTGACTTTGGCTCAGTGAGACCCTGAGTAGAGCATTCGGCCTTACTGTGCCTGGACCCCTGCCCTACAGTAACTGTGAGGGAATGTGCATTGTTTTAAGCATCCAAATTTGTGGTAATATGTTATGCAGCATTAAAACAAGATAAATTTCTAGAAGTGAAACTGCTGGGTCAAAATGTTTACAGATGTTCCAAAACTGTTCTTTAAATTCTTTACATCAATTTAAACACTCACTGCAGTAGATCTAATTTTTTTAAACTCCCTGGTTATTATCCGCTGATTCACAGTGTTTTTCCAGTCAGTCCCAAGGGATGGAATGCTCTGTATCTTGCCCATCTGTAGCTGACTTTTCTGTCAGAGGAATTTTTTTTAGTGTTCACACTCTAGTATTTCTTACAAGAAGAACCACCTTTCCTCTTAGGCTCTGCCAGGAGGAAGAACTGTCACCCAACTCTCAACTCCAATACAAAAAGCTGTGGGCAACAAGAGCTAATGACTATAACCCACCCATGAGCAAAGGGATTGGGGGGGGGGAGCTGAATAAACTCTGAGTGTTTAAAAACAAATTTAAAAGTTTTTTTCAATGTTGAATATTCTTCTGGGAATAAAGCTTTAAATATTTTATAACACATTCCTCCAAGATAGTAATCTGAAGAAAAATATGAACAGGATACAAAGTGAAACCTATAATCACAATATCAATTGCACTAACATCAAAGTATTTTTATATGTTCAGTATTATTTAGGGGAAGAGGTAGATTTTAGAGCCAGACAGGACCCAAGAGAAGTTTACCTTCCTTGGTTTTACAGAGAATATGCTACTATAACATTTTAGAAATCAATAAAGGTAGAAGTTTTTTGTTTTTTTTTAACTTCAGTATTTTCATTTCACTCTATAAACTGATACATAATTTGGGGGGCTATTTAAAGTATTTATTAATACTTTTAATTTTTTAAGTAATTAATTAATTAATTTTTAGAGACAGGGAAAGGGAGGGAGAAAGAGAGGGAGAGAAATATCCACGTGTGGTTCCCTCTCATGTGCCCCCTACTGGGGACATGGCCTGCAACCCAGGCATGTGCCCTGCCTGGGAATTGAACCTGAGACCCTGTCATCCACAGCCCGCACTCAATCTACTGAACCACACCAGCCAGGGCGTATTTATTAATACTTTAAAATGTTCATACCCTCACACCTAGCAATTCTCTTCGAGAGTCTGTCCTAAAGATACAAATCATAGATGATTATTCATTCCACAAATTAATTCAACCAATACTGGTTAAGCATCTCCTGTGAGTTATTAGTTATGGTTCTGAGAAAGCAACAGTGAGCAAAGCATGTCCCTGCCATCATGGAGCTTAAATTCTGGTGGAGACAAAGACAATCAATAAGTAAATATATTTAAAAATATATAATTTTTAAAAATCCTCACCTGAGGATATTTTCACTGATTTCAGAGAGAAAGAGATAGAGGAAGACAGAGAGGAACATCAATGTGAGAGAGAATCATTGGTCAGTTGCCTCTTGTACACATCCAGACTTGTACTTGAACCCACAACCTAGGTAAGTTGCCCTGACCAGGAATCAAGCCTGCAACCTTTTGGGGCACAGGATGACTCCAACCCACTGAGCCAGACTGGCCAGGGCTTATATAAAATATATAAAAATTTCAGGTGTTGATAGATACTATGAGAAAAAAAGCAGGGTATAAGAGTAAAATGATGAGATTTTAATTTAGAAAAAGCAATGAGGGGAGAAAATCTCTGAAGAGATGTCACGAATGAAGGAAGGATATGGGTCTTACAAGCAGACAGGTATCAGGGGAAATAAGAAACTAGGAGTGCAAATGCCCTGGGGCAGGTTCTCCCAACATCCCCAATACAGCCACCTCTATTAGTGAACAGCAATTCTGAGTACCTAGATTCTGGTCAAAGAAATTGGTAAAGTTTTTAAAATTTTTTTAATCACTTAGTAAAGTTTTGATTTTTGAAAAAAATTCTACCTTTAATAATAAAGTCTTTGCACTGGCCAAGTGGCTTGGTTGGAGCATTGTCCCATAAACCAAAAAGGTTTTGGGTTTGATTCCTAGTCAAGGCACAAACCTAGGTTGCCAGTTTCATCCTTGGTTGGGGTGTGAATGGGAGGCAACCGATTCACGTTTCTCTCTCCCTCTTCTCCCTCTAAAATCAATAAACATATCCTCAGGTGAGGACTAAAATAATAATAATAATAATAATAATAATAAACATTTTTTACTATTATAGTATTATCTATAGTCAGAAACTACCTAAGTGTCCTACAGTTGTTACTAAATTGGCTACATACATGGTAATTCATTCATAAAATGAAATGGTTTTAAAACATTAAAACAACATTTTAAAATCACATTAAAATATTTAATGATATGGGAAAATGCTATTATATAAAGTGAAAAGAGAAAATTATTAAACAGTCCATATGAGTCAAATTTTATTTAAAAAATATACACACATATATAAATATTTCAACTATTTCATGATAGGTTTTTATATATACAAAACAGAACAGGTGTGCACCTAAAAACTGTAATTTTGTTAACCAGTCAATTTAAAAAAGAAGATTACTTCCCAAATATTGAGATAGTAGTGAATATCTTTCACTGGCATGATTATGGACAATTTTTATCTGTTTTGGACTTTTCTGTGCTTTCCAAATGTATTAAATGTAATACTTATAAAAACAGGAAGAAACCCATAAGTTATTTTCACATTAAATGTGTTAAAGGGTGGAATTTTAGTTCTTACCAGAAAAAAGAAAGGGAAGCATGTGAGCTCCATTAGTTTCTCTTTTCTTTATGTTTGATTCACTTTGGAACTGGTTACAGGGTACCTGGAAAAGTTCTACAGAAGCAATTATACTTACATTCCTGTTTGAAGGTGAAATATTCTGTAAGATGCCTGCATTCATGATTTCCCCGAAGCAGAAACAATGTTTTGGGATGATTAATCTTTAAACTCCATAAAAACAGTACACACTACAAGACAAATACAAGCATACAATTTTTATTTGTGACCATGATAATACACAAAGATAACTTATAAATTCAAATGACTTGTAATGACACCCATTACTATCCCCAAGTTGAAACATGAAACCCTTAGCTTTTGAACGTGGTGTGCCACGGTCCTAGAACGACAGAGCCCAGACTGCAGTCTTCGTAGGAATCTCTCCTTAACTTCTGCTCCCGTGCTCTGTACAGACATCTAGAACTCTGTGACAAAGCCACCCACACATCTATGATATATACCTTAGTCCTAAAACCTTTCTTTTAACTAATGAAGAAATACTACAGACATTTCTGCTAAAATCAGGAACAAGGCAAAGATATCCACTACCTCTGCTATTAGTCAACACTGTTTAGCTTACAAAATTAGGTAAAAGCAATCAATTACAGGGTTAACAATGGGTAAAGAAAAAAAACTATCTGCAGATAATATGATAGCATACCTAAAAAAGCCAGAAAATCAATGATTTAAAACTCGAATAATAAAAAAAATTCAGTAACATGGCAGGATCTAAAATTAACATACAAAATCAATAGTCTTCATATACACAAACAATAAATAGAACACAGTGGTAGAGAAAACTCCATTTATAATAGCAGTAAAGAAAATTAAACACATAGAAATAAATGTATGTACAAATCTTATACCGAGACATACTTAAAATACTCCCAACAGATGCAAAGTAAATATAAACAAATAGAGGTGTGGGAGGGGTGGGGAGTAAATACAGACAACTGTAACTGAACAACAATAAAACAATTTAAATTTTAAAAAATATTTTAAATAAAAAAACAAATAGAAAAACATCCCCTATTCTTAGATAGGATGATTCAACTTTAAATATTCATAATTTAATTTATAATATCTTTGCAATTCCAATAAAAATACCAACAAGCTATTCTATGGAGTTGATAGTAAAATTTACATTAAAAAAAAAAAACATGCAAGAGCAGTCAGGAAACAGCCAGAAAAACAGTGAAAAAGAGAAATCATGAGGGGGTAGCCCTACCAGATGTCAAAACATACTATAAAGTTTCTACAATTAAAGCAGTGGTACTGGTACATAGTCCCAGAATTTAGCATTGTTTCTCAACACAGATACTACTAACTTCTTGAAAAGCACAATTTTTAAATAGTGCAGGATGTTTTGTATACCTGGACCCTGCTCATTAAATGCCAGTGGAATCTCTCAATTATTGTGACAAAATATTAATTCGTATGTCATTGTATATAATTGTGAGTGCATCTGCAGTATAATTTCTCAAAAAATGAAAAATTTTAATCAAAATACCTGTATATTTTATTTGAGACAGATATTACAAAATTAACATTATAAAACTTAAATATAGACAGACATATAAATACACTCACAGCCCTGGCCAGATGGCTCATTGGGCCGGAGTGCCACCCCATATACCACACGGCTGCAGGCTCAACTCCCAATCAGGGCACACACACAGACTGCAGGGCAAGGTACAGGGGGCAACCGATCATGTTTCTCTCTTTCCCCCTCCCTTCCTCTCTCTCTAAAATCAATAAACACATCTTCAGGGGAGGAGTAAAAAAAATAAAAAAATAAATATACTTGGATGGCTTTTTTCTTTTTTTTTTGGTTGACTGTCTTTTTAACATAACTTGCATAAAATATTCCAAGGAAAAATTACATTAAAACCATACAGAAACTTAGAAAACACTTTCTCTTTTCTATATTAACCTTTCCCAACCAAGAACATTATATATCTTTTGATTTATTTGGGTCTTTATTTCGACTCCTAAAAAGACCAACTCACCTTTTTGAAGCAATGATATATACAAAAACGTAATCCATATCCACACTACATTGTAATTTGGTTGATATACTTCTTGGTCTCTAATCTCAAGTTTTATTTCCTTAACATATACATCAAGATGCAATTGCCCAATTTTCTTGCATAATTCAATGACAAAGTCATGATTATCAGGAGCTCTGTTCAGATACTCACTTCCTTACCCCACGTGAACAGAATTTTTACTGCACTCAAGAATCACTTCTATATGTCAACAATTGTTCCAACAGTTGGTCATCTGATAACATTTACATCACTTGGATATCTGATACCATTTTCTCTTTGGTGGCCTGTGTGTATTTGGTATGTTCTATGCTGATAATGCTCCTTTTAATGCTTTCTCTTATTGTAAAATCAAGTAAAGGAAACCAAAGTTTAGCTTCCCCTGCCACAGAGGAAGTACTTTCTAATTGGTACAAATGTAGAAGGAACATCAAAAGGCTCAGGAAAAGTGAAACTTTACTATTGTGCTTTCTCAGTGACATTCGAGTGAGTCCCTGGTATACTAATCAAAGTCCACATTGCTTCAGGGAAGACCAATGCTTGTTCTGGGCATGAAAAAAATCATCACACTTTGATTCTCTCATAAAGGCTCAAGGAAAGAAACACTAGTAACTATGGGAAGAGAAAATAAAGTGAACTAAGCTTCTCTGAGAACAATTTGGCAATATGTATCAAAAGTCTTAAAAATACACTCTTTTACCTGGTTATTTCTCATACAAGGATCTGATTTAAGGAAATACCAGAAATGCCATCGAAGATGTATTAAAAAGACGTTAACTGCAGCACTATGTAGAACAGAAATATTTAGAAAACAACTTTGTACCACATATGATACAAGTCATACAATAACCCATTAACTGTTGCTTAATCCATAAAGACTTTTAAATATCTCATGAAACACAAAGTCTGGAGGTGGGAGGTCCAGGTTTAGTCAACATCACCACCAAGAGGCCATGTTCTCTCTACCTCTTTGACCTGTGAGTCACAGCAGGTCTCCTTTCACCTTTAGCTAATAAATAGACCTCCTCACAGTCACAAAACAGCTGCTAGAGTACACATTTCAAATGGCATAATGAAATGGGGCATCCAAAAGCTGACAAGAGTCTTTTCATCTGGAAATAAAATGTTTCAAAACACACACACATGTGGTTTACCCACCCAAACAACAAAACAAAGCAACCACCCAGCAGAGTTTCCTTTATATATTAGTGGGCAAAACAGCATCCCATGTTTAGCCTTGCACCAGCCCACTGGTGAAAGGGAATGGTCTGTCATGACTAGACCAGACCAACATGAATTCAATCGCTGGGGCTGGAACAAGAGCCTTCTTGCCCTGAAATCAGAGGTTCTCCCGGAACTTCCCATTCCACTTATCTGAACAAAACAGGGAGTTTGACAGTAAGGAAGAAGAAAATGGTAGGCAATAAGGAGGACCTGCTACAAACCTAGTGATCCAACAAAAGAGGAATGATGAAACTGAGTGTCTCCCGTGGGTCAGGCACTGTTCAAGGTCCTAATGCGAGGAGTACTGCTGCTACTTAACACCTACTGCTGTATTACACTGAAAGGTCTATTTACCAGCGTATCTTTTCTATTAGAGTTTCAGCTCCTACAGCTAGTATGGCCCTTATTACTTTATCCTCGGAGCCTGCCATAAGGCTGGCACTCAAGAAACATTCACTGATGAGTAAGGAAAAAATAGGTAACAAAATATTCTGAATATGCTATATGTGTATAAAAATCATCGTGGATTTTTGTGTATGCTTTATTGAATATATTGATGCACTGAAACTTTTTCAAGTATGTGAGTTAAATATCAGAAGATAATTTGGCACAATGTTTTTTTTTTTTTAATTTTTGTTTATTTATCTTTAGAGGGGAAGGAGTGGAGAGAGGGAGAGAAACGTCAATGTATGGTTGCCTTTCGTGCGTCCTCTGCTGGGAATTGGCCTGCAGGGAACCGGCCTGCAACCCAGGCATGTGCCCTGACTGGGAATCGAACCGCGATTGTCTGGTTCGCAGGCCCGTGCTCAATCCACTGAGCTACACCAGCCAGGGCGGCACAATGTTTATCTTTTTAAAAAGTTTCATTAAATGACTAATTAAAACTTCACTAAGTTCTGTATTCTTCTGTTCAAGCTCTAAAACCTCCTCATGCTGGCAAACATACAAAGAAGTAAGCATTCAATGTGTCTTTCAAACATCCATACTCTGACTCACTGTCTGTTGAAACATGAATAGAAATTAGGAATTCAAAAGCTTTTCAATAACAGAGTTTACAAGTATGATCTCTACCCTTCTCAGGAACCTATTTAGAGACTAGGTATTTACTGAGCAGTAGGGAAATCGTGCCTATTTTCTTAGTCTATAACATTAACTTTTGCCCTCAAATATGACACCGAATGAATCTGAGTCACTGACAGATAACATCGAACTTTTCTGATTCATGAATTTAGACTGCCTATCTAAGCCCTGGCAGGTGTAGCTCAGTGGATTGAGCGTGGGCCTGCGAACCACACGATCGAGGTTCGATTCCCAGTCAGGGTACATGCCTGGGTTGCAGGCCAGTTCCCAGCGGGGGACTCACGAGAGGCAACCATACATTGATATTTCTCTCCCTCTCTCCATCCCTTCCTCTCTAAAGATAAATAAAATCTTAAAAAAAAAATAAATAGACTGCCTATCTAACTGAAGACTAAGACCTCTTTCTCTCGTCATTTATTTTTCCAGCAGTTTTAGAACAAGTGCTGTTTCTCTGGTTGAGCCCCAGGTGGGACAACTGAGTTGTGTCCAGAGTGACACTGCACGGACAACAAACCTGTAGCCACCAGGAACACAGTGCAGTGAGACTCAGCCCGAGGGGGAGGCAGAACTGAAGACGACAAGAACAGTGACAAGCACTTCACGCTTATTTCAGGCACATCATAAATTCTGTCACCCACACTACTTCAAAGTTACTTCTTTTATTTGCCAAGAATGTCCAGCTGAATCAGTAGACATCAAATATAAATGTGTTGTGGTTCTATTGTACTCAAGCCCTCCCATTAAGTTCTAAAATAGTTTTAACTTTTCTACAAAAAATCTTGTAGTTTGTTTTGATTGTAACCTTTTTCTTATTTAATTTTCAAAATACATAAAAGGAAACTGTGAGGTTTCACATTAACTTCTTTAATCATTTTTTCCTTCGATGAACATTTATTAAGTGCTTAACTATATGTAACAGCATCAGAAATTATTCTTATAATAAGCTAAGTGCCTCCTTATTTAGCATGGGCAGACAGTCTAAAAGTTCATCGTAGCCTAGCAGCTTATGAATCTGGTCTTATAATTAAGGTCAGCTAATCCAAGCCCCCCTGAAGGTGAATAGCAATTTATGTCATTTATATACAGACTGAACATTATCTTCAAAGATGAAAGGTAGGAAACATTTAACTTATTGGCACAGCTGGGTTAATATAGCCTTCTATTTGTCAGACTTTCTACTGGCTAAAAAAAGGGAAAAGAATGCTTATACCAAATAAAACATCTTGCTATCACTTTATTGACAGTAACAAAGTTTATAAATTCCGTCAATGTTCTCATTTTAGTTTTCTTCTACTAAAGAGTGTCCAGTTTAATTTTTACCTCTATACTGAAATAGCCTCTGTCCACATAGTCACCCAGAAAGAGGTAGCGTGTGTTACTAGGTGATCCTCCAACTTCAAACAACTTCATCAGGTCAAAGAATTGTCCATGGATGTCACCACACACTAGGAGAAAAAAGGCACAGGGTGAGGTAAAAAAGTATGTCCTAGGAGGACTTCTGCCAAGATGGAGGCATAGGTGGAAGCACTGCACCTTCTCGCACAACTAAGTCTAAAAACAACAAAGTTTTAGCAACAAAAACACAGCCAAACCACAGAAAATTGAACTACACGGAAGTCTGACAACAACAAACCCTTCAGCCAAACTGGTAAGAGGGGCAGAGCCAGCAGCAGAGTGGGGTTGGGCAGGAAAGATCCACCGGACCCACCTGGGCGCACAACCCAGGCATGCCGGCAGCCATGGGCAGATCCCAGGTGTGGAGAAGTGAGTGGACCCACTGAGGGCTCAAGGTGTTGGACCCACTGAGAGCTGATCGCGGTCACACATTAGCACACAGATAAACCGGTGAAGGAGCAAGCAGTGAGACGGACCGCACAGGCCCCAGCAGCAGGAAGCAGCAGAGGTAACCGCCATTGTCCCTCTCTGACCCCGCGCCCACATACAGTGGTCACAAACCAGTGACCTGGGTGGCCCTGCCCTGGTGAACAACTAAGGCTCTGCTCCTCACATGCAACAGGCACGAACAGATCAAAACATGGCTCAAGAACAACTGAGAGCCCCAGAGCCGATAAATCTAAGCGATCAAGAAAGTGCCAAACTTTCAGATGCACAGTTCAAAACACTGGTGATCAGGATGCTCACAGAACTGGTTGATTTTAGTCACAAATTAGAGAGGAACATATGAAGGCTAAACTAATTGAAATAAATGCAAAAACACAGGAAACCAATAGTAATGGAAAGGAAACTGGGACTCAAATCAATGGAGTGGACCAGAAGGAGGAAAAAAATGACCAAACAGAAAAGGATGAAGAAACAAGAATTCAAAAAAATGAGGAGAGGCTTAGGAACCTTCAGGACACCTTTAAACGTTCCAACATCTGAATTATAGGGGTTCCATAAGGGGAAGAAAAACAGCCACGAGTGGAACACTTATTTGAACAAATAAGAAAGGAAAACTTTCCCAATTTGGCAAAGGAAATAGACTTCCAGGAAATCCAGGAAACTCAGAGAGTACCAAAGAAGTTGGACCCAAGAAGGAACACACCAAGGCACATCATCATTACATTAGCCAAGATTAAAATGAAGGAGAGAATCCTAGAAGCAGCAAGAGATAAGGAGACAGTCACCTACCAAGGAGTTCCCATCAGACTGTCAGCTGATTTCTCAAAAGAGACCTTACAGGCAAGAAGGGGCTGGAAAGAAGTATTCCAAGTCATGAAATCCAAAGACCTACATCCAAGATTGCTCTATCCAGCAAAGCTTTCATTTAGAATCGAAGGGCAGATAAAGTGCTTCTCAGATAAGGTCAAGTTCAAGAAGTTCATTATCACCAAGCCCTTATTATATGAAATGTTAAAGGGACTTATCTAAGAAAAAGAAGATAAAAATATCAACAGTGAAAGGACAGCAAACTCACAGTTATTAAGAACCACACCTAAAACAAAAGCAAACTAAGAGGACAGCTAGATCAGGAGCAGAACCATAGAAATGAAGATCACATGGAGGGTTAGCAACAGGGGAGTGGGAGGAGGAGAAGGGGGGAGAAGGTACAGAAAATAAGTAGCATAGACAGTAGATAGAAAATAGATGGGGGGGCAAGAATAGCATGGGAAATATAGAATCTAAAGAACTTGAGACACGTGGTCATAAACTAAAGGGGGGAATGGTTGGGGAGGGGTGTGCAGGGTGGAGGGGAATGAAGGGGGGAAACAGAACAACTGTAATGGCATAATTAATAAAAATTTTTAAAATTTTTTAAAAAGTATGTCCTAGGAAAGAAAGGGCATCACATGAGTAAAGAGATCACAGTCTAACTTTGCGATCATGTTACTTTTTGACTGGGCTGCTCTGGGACTGCTGTCAGTCTATCAGCACGAACAGTCCTTCTGGAAATAACAGACACTTGGCACCGTATTTCTTCAGTGAACAAAAAAACACACTAAAAAATTCTCAGGCTGTGTGATCATGCCTAGAGAAATGACCACACATTTTAGTTGGTCATTAGCTCCAGTCGAAGCACCACAACACAAACACTTGTCCTACCCGTGATGGGAGCGTCTAGCTCTATCATCGTCTTCTCTTGTCTCAGGATGGCAGCCCCATCATTGATTATCTTTAGGGCTACTTCCTCTTCCAGTCGCCCTTCCTTCACCAAGTGGTTTTTCAGGACATCGATCTTAGGTTTCCCATTCTCAAATACCTCCTTCAGAGTAAGCCGTTGGGTTGGAGGGAAGGGGACAGCTAGAGAAAGAGAAAAACATAATTAAAAATACTTAAACGTACAGAGAACAACCATGAATGCATTTCGTTAATGTAACAAATTAAACCTAATATACCACCATGATTTCACACCCATACCACCAGACCTACATGGGAAAAATTCCAAAGTACTGTATATTATGAATGATTGGTTCTAATTTCTTTAAAGGTCACAGTTAAAGTCAGTCATTTAAAAGATATGTATATTTAGGTGTGTGTAAAGTATAATATTTTTCATATAAACATTAAAGACTTGCAGTTGATTCTACAAATAAGTGAAAAGGGACTAGATGATAGGAAGATTTTGTATCCCTGGAAAAGATGTTACAAATAAAACCTTGGTTACATAAAGGAAAAGAAATCACAGCACTAAAGGAGCATTTATTTCTTCTAAAGAACTGACCTAGGAAAACAGAAGTTTGTTCCAAAAGTTTGACTCCAGTCCCTTATCAGGAGAATCACAGTTGGAGGCTTTATTCTTAAAGAGAGTTACTTAAAATGTTACCAATAACAAGGCCACTAGAAGAAACATCCCTGAGAATCACTTGCTGTAACGACAGAGCATGTTCTTGAGAAGAATAGACATGGGAGGGCTCCTTGTGTTTTCTAATCTGGAAATGCAAACAACTACCTGCAGTGTATGCTAGATATAAAGTGTATATAAAACATCATGGTGAATTAGGAGCTTTAACAAAAAGTCTCTGACATTTTTTAAATTGGCTATCATCTTCGACTTACCTATGCTGTGATGCAGTCTATTTTACATTCCCTGTGATCTAATAGCCTCAAGTCTATAAACCACACATTTAAAAGGAAGGGGCTCATTTAAACTTGTGATTTGTTTTGTGTCTGGCGGTTCCACTTCTAACTTCATGGAAACATTATTAAGAACCAACTTGAGGGCTAGGTGAAAAAGGCATGGGGATTAAGAAGTACAAACGGGTAGTCACGGAACAGCCATGGGGATGCAGAGTGCAGCACAGGGACCATGTTCAGTAACATTGTAATAACTATGAATGGTGCCAGGGGGGTAGTAGAATTAATTATCAGGGGAATCACTCCATAAATTATTATAACTGTTTGACTACTATGCTGTATACCTAAAACTAATATAAATTAATACTAAATATCAACTATAATTGAAAAACATTTCTTTTAATTTAAACATCCTAAAAAAGAACCAAGATGAAATCTGCAGGCACTTAAAAATTTTTAGACTTGATCTAGCCATACCATTTTGTATTATTTACAAGTAAAGAAAGTTCTACAATAGGCTTCATCATATTCTTAGCTACCACTTGACTCATTTTGACGATTCAAAGCTCACTGAAAAAAATGATAGTAGCTACTGAACCAGGAAACGACGACGCTGAGACAGGAGATCATGTACAGCCCAGTCTACCCAGGACAGTCCCAGATTCCGACTGCTCTCCTGGCATGATTGTTAACGGTTCTCCCGTTCCCTCTCAAACTATTCCAGTTTGAAGGGTAAATAATTCTTTGTTATTTAGATGGATTATCAATATACTATTTTAATAGAACAATCTACTTCTGAAAACAAAAATAGACCCTGGATGGGTAGCTCAATTGGCTAAAGCGTTGTCCTGACACGCCAAGGTTGTGGGTTTGATCCCCAGTCAGGCACATATAAGAATCAACCAATGATTGTATAAGTTAGTGGAACAACAAAGCAACGTTTCCCTCCCTTTCTAAAATCAATCCATCAAATTAACTAATTAAAGTAAAACAAAAATAAAATATTATGATGAATCTTTTATTCATCTGGTTGAGTCTCCAAGATGGGGTGAAAGGTTAGTCCTGAATAGGTCTCCTTAAATTTTTACTAAAATTTAATGGTACTATAGTTGTGTTTAACAACAACAAAATATTTTATAGTTTAGAGATTCTTACTGAAATATTTTCAGATGGAATTATATGCTAGTTGATAAAATTTTATTAAGATAATGGGGGAATAGAATGAACAGTGTTACAGATGGCTGATGTTCACTTGGAAGGCACTAATACTTTTCTCTCTACCACTGTAATATATTTGAAATCTTTATAACAAAAAAAGTAGAAAGAATTACCAAAAAAAGAGTATAAGCTTTAGAGATATTTTCTTTGGACTCCACTTAATCGAATTCCTTGTAGATGACTTTAGAGAACCACCAGTACCCTGAAATCTTGAGCCAAAGAATAGAAAAATGGAAGATTTCACATACAATCATTCTCCTTTTTATACTTAATTTACCTCTTTAAACTCTTATTCTCCACCCTTTCCCAGTTTTGAAATAACCCCACAGAAAGTCTGCTTCTTTTTAATGTCCCACTTTGTAAATCAAAGAAATCGGTCAACAAACTAAAAACAACATGAAATAAGACAAAATCAAATATGTTGGAATCATCAAAAAAAGAGACAGTACTGGACAGTACTGGACACAGGAGATCCACAGATATTATTTAACTTCTACCAGCTGTATTGCTACCAATAAAACAATTTTCCTCCAGTTGTAATCAGAAGTTCAAAAACAGAAAACATAGTTTCCTTTATATCATGAAAGTTATGTAAGTACAGGTGACAACCACCTAAGGAGCTCCTGAGAGAGGAATCCAGAGATGTTTTTCTTTCTCTCAAACCCTTCACTTGTAATTTATTTAACACAAAACAAGTAAACAAGCCACTTAGTTAAATGAAAGCAAAAGCAAGGCTGAATTGAATCAAGGGGGATTATGCCCGGCTAAGAGAACTGGGACAGAGCTGAGCCAGGAACACGGCCAGGAATTTGGATTGGCTTGGGACATATTAACAGAAAGCTTCAGAGGAGTCCTAGATTTCTAGGTTAGGGTGAATAGAATCAGTATCTGTGAAATCAGAAAATATGAATCTTCAAGTTTAAAGGAGTGGGTCCTACCTCACCTCAAGTTACTCCTGGCTAAGTATAGAAGCCCTGAATTCTATCTCCCTTCTTTTAATAGATAGTTCTATCAAGAGTTGAGGTTGGTTCATAGAAGAGTGGCAACAGCCACCACAGTCCTGAGGAGACTAAAGGAAATCCAGCTAAGTTTAATCACAAAAGGAAACAGCAGAACTTTTCCGAATGAATCTTTAAATTTCCATTTTAAAAAATATGCCCCAGATACAGAGTAACCACCTGTCTATGTATGCCTATTGTGATATGCCAAGTTTATTTTGTCCTGATATAATTAGTAGTAGTGCCCCCCTCACTCTCAAGTAGCCTGTTTTGAATGACCTATCTCGTAAAGTAGAACCAACAAATTTTGATGTTTAGGCCTCAGATGTCTGAATAAGAACCTCTGAGGAGCCTGCATTTGCATCTTAACAGGTGCCCTAAGCAATTCTTGTACAATTAAAATGGTGTTAGAGTAAAGCAGGATAATGGTTAAAGGAAATTCTAAGTAAAGACACAACTAATCTCAGATATCAGCACCTCTTTTTACCACTCATCACATAGTCACAGTTGCCCAGTCTTCATGTCCTTTGTCAGAGTACCTACTGTGGCCATGTGCATACATGGAGTTTGGAATTTCTGAGGGGAGAAAAATAAGACTATAGAGTAGTGCCTTGTAAACGATCTATGGGAACTCCCCACCCACAATCTGTTAAAACCAATACTTTGTAAAAAGTAATAAAAATAAATTAGTAGAAAAATGATCACATGCATAAATTATTTGTCAATGTCAAATTGCTATAAAAGCTTTTAAATGCTCAATTTCCATATTATTGCACTTAGTAACAATTAGTGGATGGACCTGACACAGAGACCACACTTTTAGTAACACTGGTGTTGATAAACACGGATTTGGGGGAACAAGCAAAGGACTACAGTCAAAACTTGGATACTCTGGAAGTTTGGAGGTGTTAGTAAATCTAATGGACACAAAAGATGATGTTTGACTGACTCCACTACTCACCTCACAATGAATGATAACCTTGTGCTAAGAACCCAAATTCCTGACAAGTTCATTTCCAACTATCTTTAATGGCACACAGAATGACACTGATAACAAATACAACCTAAACACTTTAACTCTGCAGGCAGATAAACAAGCTGAAGTTTTAGCCTCTAACATCTTATGAACTATAACACAGAGGTTGTTACTTGCAGCCTTTCTTCTGTGGCTGTACGTTGCCTCTTTATTCCATTTATAACGTTGTCATTTCCTTTGGATAGATTCCCAGAAGTGGAATTGCTGAATCATAAGGCAGTTCCATTTTTAATTTTTTGAGGTATCTCCATACTGCTTTCTACAGTGGCTGCACCAGCCTGCATTCCACCAACAGTGCACAAAGGTTCCCTTTCTCCACATCCTCACCAGCACTTGTTGTTTGTTGGTTTATTGATGACAGCCATTCTGACAGGTGTGAGGTGATAGCTCACTGTGATTTTAATTTGCATTTCTCTAATGATTACTGCCTCTGAGCACCTTTTCATATGCCTGCTGACCATCTGTATGTCCTCTTTGGAGAAGTGTCTATTTGGGTACTGTGCTCATTTTTAAATTGGATTGTTTGTTTTTATGGAGTTGAGTTTTGTAAGTTCTTTATAAATTTTGGATACTAACCAAGGACATGCATCTTAAGAGAAAGCCACGAGGAACTTGTATCCTCTTTACATCAGAGCCTCACAAGCCACACAACACTATTCCCACCACACTTAACTGGTTGGAGCACTCACAGCCTGCCAAGTGCAAGGGGAGAGGGAGTAGACTCCACCTACTGAAGCAACAACATTCTGTGAAAGCATGTGAGACTTGAAATATTGCTGTGGCCATTTCTTGAAAACAGAATCTGTTAATACTTTCTATATTTAGAAGAAGATAAAGCCAAGTCATCAATGCCTCGAATAATACCTTTAAATCAGAGCCCATTTTAAGTGGGCCATTCTGTATTTTCCAAGCTATTACCAAATAAGAATATTAACCACTACAGGAAAACATTAGATTATTCTCAAATGCTTCAA